AAGTATTGGTCATGCATTGAGTATTAGTGTATGGGGAGCATCATGACGTACCCATGATTATCAAGTATAACACCTTAAAATGTAGATTTGAATACTCTTGAATTGTTTAGGTATAAATTACTATGTGTCTTTTCCAAAACTAATTTTTAACATAATTATGAACCATAACCCCCATTGATCCAGTCCCTTGGAAGAAAAATGTTAATCTTTAGCAAAAATGTAAGATGTGTAAACTCAATTTTTAGAAAGTAACCAAAAAATTAACATGGTTCTTGGTTTCAAACAAATGCCCCAGCGTAACAAAAAAAATGTCACCCCAGACATTGATGCCATACATTGGCAAAGGTAAGCATGTCTAGAGAACTTAAGCAGCATGTATCTAACAAAGAAATGAACTTAAACCCTAAATCCAGCTGTGTCTAACAAAGAAATGAAAAAAAATAACGCACAAGTAAAGCTTCTTGTATGACGTAAGGGGTAACGGAGATGCTACTGGTCACTGCACTTCTTAGAGAGGTGTACAAACATTTAGAATAGCAAGACAACTCTACAGAATTTCATGTAGGCACATAAACTCAGCAGTCAAAGCCAGTTATATTGATTTTTAAATCTGTTGAATGCTAGTCTCATGAAGTTCCTGACTTCACATTAAAAATCAACACATCACATTCCTCTCAAGAAAACGAAAATACCCAAATCTATATAAATAAAAAATAAAAATAAAATCACGAGCAATACAAACCTTGCACTGAAGCCAACAGGAACAGTACACCAGCCTAAAACCCGAATGTCATTGGGAAGAACTCTATTTATTACTCTCACATAATCAATTTCTCCATCTGAGAGTAAATAATAAATGGAAATGAAGTTGAGATAATGGAGATGGAAAAAGTATGCAACGTTCCAATTAGAACTTAGAAAGAAAAAACTACCCCAATTGAAAATGTTAATTAAAAAATAATAATAAGCACATAAAACTATAGATGACATCCTTTGAAAAAATAAAAGAAAGGGTCATGTCTGTAGTTCCCTGTATAAAGTATCGCTACCATCTACTTTCCTAATGCAGTAAAGAATATTGCTATATTTTGGTGTTTCAAACAAGAGTGCTATCCGTAACAGAAAGCAAGAAGTCTGGCGCACTCCATATTATCATTCAGTTGATTAGTATTCAAGTTATTAACAAACAAGAACGACTTTGGCAACATCAACTTAGCTGACCATGGTGCTCTTCCGCATTATGATTGCCATTTTCACCATTAGGGGGATCCTTAAGGTTGGACCGTAAATAGAGAGCAATTACCTGCAGGAACAATAGTGTGATTGCTAGAAAGGTGAAATTAACTCAATTAGGGATTGAAAGGTCAACAAAGTTCCCTAATTAAAAAGATGAGGAAGTCAACGTATTCAGAAAATTAGCATAAAGCTACTGTTATACAATGCTATTCTAGCTGTACAATGTTATTCTCTACAGATTTTAAGTGTCTTACTTGCCCAACAGATGAGACCCCCCTGTCTGTTCTACCACATCTTGAATAACAAGACTCCTTCCTACCACCAACAAGAAGCCTGGCTTTATCAAGAGCTCTGAAAATTTCGGACTGCAGGAAGATGAGATAACAAATTAACGATAACAAATTAACTTCTTTTTTTGGGTACAAAATTTACAAGTAAATCTCTTCTCACCCAACATTCCTCACAACCACCAAATATACCTTCCCGTAACCCCCTCCCCCTTAAAACAAATTGATGCTAAATGTTTACACCCACCCAGACCATGGTCTTGCGCATGAAGTCATGCTCATCTATTTCCTAAAGCCTTTCAACTTTTACGTAGCATTCAAATGTTGCCAATCAACTTTGTCAAAGTCTTTTCCAGTGACAATTCCTACTCTTTTTAGTCCCCTCCCCTTTATTGGATCCATCTACATCTTAAGCCTTTTGTTTGCTTTTGGGATCGCAAGAGAATCACAAAGGAAGGGGAAAGGTGAAAAAAGGGTGGTTGTAAGGAGGACTTGCAAGGGTAAAGGAGGGAAGGACTACACATTACTATAGTGAAACTCAAGTTAAATCCAAGCCTCCTGAAATCTTGGGTGTCTGGTTACCTCATAATTCATACTTAGAAATTCACGATTTATTTCTCAAACTCATCAAAAACCTAATGGTTAGATGAATCAGAATGTCGATTTTGCTTTCTAGCATTCTTCATTATAATCCAAATCCATAATTAAACACAGCATCAAAATAATCTCGATGGCATTCCTTAGCAAGCAGGAAGGGAAGAATATTCATTGACAAAGAAAACCTTATATTTACCCTTGAGAATCGCATGATGCTCATTCTAGCAGATGGTGTGATCAAATATCAATTAGAAAAGATGGAAGAATTGATATTGGGATCCTCTAAATGCATTATTTAAATGTTTAGGCACTCCCAGTAAACATTAAGAATCAATATTGTGCGTTCTTGACAAGTACCCCCCATCAGTACCACTGTAATCGATAAATCATAAATAATTTGTTCAATTTAATTTGAAACTATACCTCAACTGTTGGTTCCATTTGTGCCTCTGAAGCAAAGCCATAGAACCTGAACAGATGAAGTAACCAGAATTTCAGGCACTATCTGACATCAAGTTAAATTTTCACAGTATAACAAAAAGCTACGACGATAGAGTTTTTAAATAACAACTGTTGTGGGGTTTTCTTTTAACAAGATTTCTCCATATCTCGGAAGAAGGTTTCGGAGGACTGAAATGTACGGAAATTAATGCAGGGGAAAGTAAAAGGTACTGGTATTGTTCCCATTATCGCTAGATTACATACCTCCGCCCGAAATACATTACTTTTAGAGCAATATATCTCTTTGAACAGTGATCCAAGATCCTTGTGTTATAACCTTCGCCCATAAAATAACAAGCAAATCATTCCAGTAGATAAACAAGGTTGATAATATGCATGAGAACTACCGTAAATTATTTCATCTAAACTTCATAAACATTCCAAACGTATGTCTAAGGTTCATCATTTTTCACCTTTTTCTCTGGCAGGTAGGAAAAACTATTTGGTTTATCCAGTGGCTATTTGGGGACATGCAAATTTTCAAATCCATATGCAACAGTTATTGTGAAACAGCCACATTTGAGTATTTTATTGTATGTCAATGCATAATTTGACTATAGTTCAGACTCACAAATCATCATTTCTTAATCTTGATTCTTGAATTTCATAAAAATCTCATTAATATATTTATATGAACTCCACTGTTACATATTATATTCTCCTCCATTCTGCCTCCTTTGGTCGTATTTACATGTGAGTTACTACTACTACTACTACTCCCCCATGGCACCATTTTTTGGTGATCCTCTTATCTAAAAGAAAAAAATTGATTTGATTTTCGCAACTATGGAGGAATGAGAAAATAGACTCTATTTGTTCATGAAGTAACAACTAGCCTGGCGTTTTTTCTACAGCTTTCTTCTTAGTAGTCTTGTCTTTCAGACTTCCATATTTCCTGCTTTTCTCAATCGAACTACTCCCATCGTCAAAGTTCATCCTCCTCTGCACGAATTCATGTTTAGTTAGCCCTGACGAAAAATCTACCCTAAGGTTAGCTGGGCTAGCATGACAACCAAATAGATCTGATTTCATTCTAACATAGTCGACCAAACCTCAGAACAGCAGCAAGTTGCAAGTCGAGAGGATAGATTCGAATTTTCCTCCTCTAAAACCTGACAAATTAGTGGATTGAGATCGAACATCAGTCTTGTCTCTACCGATACTTCTCCATTAATTCATCAATCAACCGGAAGATGAAATGAGAGTAGACATTCAAACCTTAACCCTGCCTTGGAGAAGACGAAGCCGGGATTGAAGATTTCCAATTAGGTTTCCATCGAAGGGTTGAAACTCGTCAGTTCCTGAGGTCGTTTCCATTGCTCCCGTACCTCCTCTGTAATCGAGGGAATGTTCCGCTCCGTCCATTAGCCCTTGTACGTCAAGAAATACAGCCCCAGAGTTCAAACGACCACTGAAAAACAAATTATAAGGCCCCAAAGTTCAGACAGAATTAGGAATTCATCGCGAGGTAAAACAGAATTGACGCATAGAAACGACGAGAGAACACATACGAAAGCTTCTTGAAGAACAGAAGAAGCACAATGTTACAGCAATGGAAAAATTCCGCAAATCACAAAAGAAACCCTAAAACCCTAGCAGAGACGTTTCTCTGGAAACCGAGATTCAGAGGTTGAAGACGACAAGAAAGAGACGAAATAGTCTATTCAGAAAGCCAAGTCAGAAGGCGGGAACGTATTTATAGAGCAAGTATACACGCCGATGTACTACTTTGCGTAGCAGACCATGTACGGTATCTTCCGTGGGCTTAAGCAGCGGACGTGAAACTTTCATCCAACACGTGGGCTCGAACAAAGTATGCCTCTCGAGCCGATGTAGGACTTTCATTCAACATTTGGGTTCGAACAAAGTACACCTCTCTTTAATCGAGGCTCGACTCCTTTTCTTTTAGTGTCCTTTCTTCGTTCTATTGACATTGTTAAATCTAGGGCATGACTCTTATATCATGTTAGATGAACATGACTCCCACAATGGTATGATGCTCTAGTAGCTTTACTTTGGGCTTCTCAAAAGAGCTCACACCAATGAAGACAGTATTCCTTAGCCGATGTGAGACTTTCATCCAACAGTTTCAAAAATCGAATGTGGTATAAGGTGGAATAAATCACGTTTATACCATTTATTACTAAAACAATATAAATTATTTATGTATAAAATAATTATTCATACTTTATTAATTTATATTAATTATAGTTTATTATTATTAATTGTAACTTTAATTGACAAAATTAATCATACTTCAATATTAAATACATTAAATTGAATCGCATGTTTAATATAAATTCAATACATTTGTAAATTAAAAAATATATAAATAAGTAAATAATTAATATCCAAAATTAAAATAGCCGGGAGCCACAAACGTCTCCGTCTAAAAAGTGAGTACTGTCACATCTATAAAAGCGACAGTGCTCAAGTCCAAGGCGCTGCAATGGCGATCTCGGCAGTAATTGGATGGCGGATTGTGTTCGTTGTCTTGGCCTGTACGATGGCTACATCTATCGCTTACACCATCGCCATCGATGGCTCTCCTTTCCGCACGGAAAATTTCTCGCGGTACTCATCTCTTTTTCATCCACTGAATGCTTTTCATTTTCCGTCTTCTTCGCGTTGAATTTACAGATGCGAGCTGTTTTAGTAGTTACTCCGTTCGTAGTTCTATAGATCATTTTAGGTATTTCTATAAATCTATTAGGTTATATGATCGTTCTTAAAGTGATAATCGTTAGATGAACACAATTCTCCATAATGGTATGATATTGTCCACGGTGAGCATAAGCTCTCATGGAGGGTTTCCCCAAAAAACACAAGGGTATGATATTGAACACAACATAGGTTATCGAAAGGATCTCGGAGATCCACCAAAGCAGGAAAGCCATAATCTTTCAGAAAATGGATTCCTATTTGAAGAGTGCATAACCACATAAGCTCACACTAACCCGTCAATTTTGGATCCAATTCGGGATTGAGGGCTTCCCCAAAAGCCCTCACAGTAATGGAGATAGTATTCATTGATTCTATTAACATGACTAAGTTTAAGGCATGTTTTTGATACCACGTTAGATGAACGACTCTCTACGATGGTGATGAGCATAAGCTCTCATGGCTTTGCTTTTGGGATTCCCAAAAGGCCTCAGTTTGATGAATCTTACACATATGATTGGTTAAAATACGAAACTTATTCACTTTCGCTTCCGGGCAATTTTGCAGTCAAATTCCATAGGTGTTAACATAGGAACTTTTTTTCCATTTGAGATAGGGTCGTTAACTCGATCTGAAAAGTTGTTTTCTCATTTTAGTATCATACCATATCCACTAAAGATTGTCCTAAGCTTAAGATATCTTACTGAATCGTTGAAAAAGATTGAAAAAAAACAAAGGTTTTTCACATAATGATTTGGGTGCCTCCATGAGGGTTTACTCGATAGGGTTGAGGTTGTGAGATCTTATCGACACGAGTAAACGTTTTTTTTTTCTTCCATATTTTAACCTTTAATGGAGGGGAACGAAGTCATATTCCCCTACCTAAGGTTATATATGGTAAGCGGTTGTTATCTCTTTCTTGCTTGCTTATATAACGTCTCTTTCAAAAATCTCTCTTTGCCCTCGTTTTCTAAAACCTTCTTTTAAAATCGAGGCTAGAGGCTCGATCATACGTCGCTTGGCTGTAGGCGACGCAAGAACAAATTGGCTTAGCTCACTTATCGTTGGAAAGTAAGTGTCGTACAATCGCTAGTCCACTGCCTTCAAAAGTGCAATTGTGTCCTTATAAGGGTATGGAAATCTTTACCTTAAATTGGACGATTACAAATGGTATCAGAGCCAAACACTGAACAGTATGTAGACGCTGGACCCCAATGGGGTAGATTATGAGATCCCACCTTGGTTGGAAAGAGAAACGATTATAAGGGTATGGAAATCTTTCATTTAAATTGGACGATTACAAATGGTATCAAAGCCAAACACTGAACAGTATGTCAGCGAGGACCCCAAGGGAGTAGATTATGAGATCTCACATTGGTTGGAAAGAGGAACAAAACATTCCTTGTAAGAGTATGAAAATCTCTCATTGAAATTGGACAGTTACAAATGGTATCAGAGCCGAACACTCAACAGTGTGTCAGCGAGAATGCTGGATCCTAAAGGGGTAAATTATGAGATCCCACGTCAGTTACAAATGGAATCAGAGCCAGACACTGAACAGTGTGTCAGCGAGGACGCTGGACCCCGTTCAGTGAGAACGTTGGACCCTCAAGGGATAGATGATGAGATCCCACATTGGTTAGAAAAAGTAACGAAACATTCCTTATAAAGGGTGTGGAAACCTCCCAAGTAGACCATTTTAAATCTAGGAAGAAGGACAATATCTACAAGCAGTGTAACATTGATTCATAATTTTTTTTTTTTTTTGCTTATATTTTCCCTACAAGTCTGGACTTGTTCATTTAGGTGTGCAGTTACATGTTTCAGGTTAATGGTGGCAACCATAATTGACATTTCTATCAGCACCGTAGCCATTGCGGTAAGGAAATATCCAGTTTGCATAATAATTTATATTATTTTATGAAATTATGACTGTGCATAATCTATCAGACATGGATTTCCTATAAGGAACCAAACTGGATTGCTTCAACAATTTGGATTGTTTTTCTTGTATGTCTTGGCAGGTAACTACTTCGTTGGCTACCTTATTTATCACATATGTTCTTTTATTGTTGGATCTAATTAAATCCTCTTCGCCTATTATTTTCCACAGCATTACCACTTGTGCCTATATTCTTTGCCAGTTGTGGCAACTATCGTCCCACGAATCCTTTAAAGATATTATGTACCATGTTCTGATCAACAATCCGAACAAGTATGTAACCACTAAACCTCGTATCAGTAGATATTGTCATATTTCGGCTTTTTCTTTCAGGCTTTCCTTCAAGGTTGTAAAACGTGTCTGTTAGGGAGAGGTTTCCACACCCTTGTAAAAAATGCTTTGTTCCCCTCTCCAACTGATATGGGATCTCTCAATACACCCCCAAGGGGCCCAACGTTCTCGCTAACCAATGTGGGTTTTAATAATCCATGCTCCAAGGGGCCAGCGTTCTCGCTAATTGATGTGGGATATCACAATCCACCTCCAAGGGACCAACGTTTTCGCTAACCAATGTGGGTTCTAGTAATCCATGCTCCAAGTGGCCCAGTGTCCTCGCTAACTTATGTGAGATCTTAGAATCCACTCCCCTTCGGAGTCCAACATTAAGATCCACCCCCTTCGGAGTCCAACATTAAGATCCACCCCCTTAGGGGCTAGTGTTCTCGCTAACCGATGTGGGATCTCACAATCCAACCCCCTTTGGAGTCCAATATTCTCGCTAACACTTGTTCCTCTCTTCAATCAATGTGCGATCTCACAATCCGCCCCCATTCGAGGCTCAGCGTCCTTGCTGGCACTCTGCCCTGTGTCCACCTCCCTTTCGGGCTCAACGTCTTCATTGGTACACCCCGCAATGTCTAGCTCTAATACCATTTGCAACAGTCCAAGGCTCCAAGCCCACCGCTAGCGGATATTATCCTCTTTGGGCTTTCCCTTTCGAGCTTCTCTTCAAGGTTTTAAAACGCGTCTGCGAATGAGAGGTTTAGTTCCCCTCTCTAATCAATATGGGATTGATCTCACAATCCACTCCCTTCAAGACCCAGAATCCTTGCTAACCGATACGAGATCTTGTCTAATTTTCATTAATAAATAAAATAAAAACACTTTTAAGAATGGAGTGGAAGGATAGACGTGAGAAACTTAATTATTTTGATCCTTTTCTTAAACACAATTTGGTTGTTTGGCATGTAGGAAAGGCATGGAACAGCACAGGAAGCACTCCAATGTTATGATTGCAAAAATAATTTACAGTGTTTTGGGTTGTTTGATGGCGGTAAATTTAGTATATCTTTTCAGTGATGGTAGGCCTTTCCGCAAGGAGATTTTTACGCCGTAATTTCTCTTTCAACTCGTTCTTATTTTTACTGTTCATCAAGTGTTAATTAGCTTTCAAAGGATGTTCTCTCTTTTAACCCATTTGCAGTTGGATGGTAACAACACTCATCGATTACTTCATACTTGTCACAGTTTTGTCAGTAAGGTTTAAATTCCTTATCATTTACATTTGTTGCTTTTAGACGGTTAAATATGTCATTTTTTTTCTTTTTAAATTAATATCGAGAATCGTTGGAGTTCCATATTGATTAATCATATTGACTAATTAAGAAGAAGATCATGGATATACAAGTTAGAGACACTGTGTTCGTTGGTATGAATTCTTTTAGAGAAACTAACAGTGAGCCTAGGTCGTTATACTAACAATGTGCTCCAGAAAAGTAGAGTCATTTAGATAATGCTAAACAATAGAGATGACTGTTTAAGGGGAGACTTGCAATGTACTCCATAGAAGAGACGAAGAGACGACTGTCGTCTAGATAATGATAATGCTAGACATATAGATCCGATTGTTTATGAGGATAGACTTAGCTTCTTGATAGTCTTTCTCGTTCTTTTCCTTTCATGACTCCGCTAATTATCGGAGAGCTGAATAAACATTATTTGTCTTTCCATGTAAACTCAGATCTGGATGTTCTATAAAGAAGAATCCTGGCTTACTGCAATTTTTTGGATAGTTCTAGTACAGACTCTTGGGAGGTAATCTGTCATTTTTGTTGCAAACCGGGTTTTTTATTATATATATATATATATATATATATATATTATAACATGTAAATATTTCAGCACCTCTACATGTCCCTTCATTGTTAAGGAATTGTTCAAGCTCAACTCCGAGGATCCAGCCCACCTTATTTTATTCAAAGCTTCCCACAGGCAAGTCCATTCTTATTATATTAGGCATAGTAAGGCTATAAAATATTTATTTATTTTAATATATGTCTTTTTTTTTTTTTTTTTTTTTTTT